TGGTATTTTTGAATTTATAAAAGGAAAAAAAAATAATCGAAAAAAGATATTTGTGTACATTTGATATTTGTTTTTTTTTATATAAAAAATCCAAAATTAAATCAACAAACTAATAACAACCCGATATTTATGGAAATCGTTTGAAGTGGTTTAAATAAAATCAACAAATTAATAACTACCCAATATTTATGGAAAGCTTTTAAAGTAGTTTCTATAAAAATCTAACTATTAATTTTAAAATTGTATATATGTAAAATTATTTAATTTGTAATATATTTTGAGATATTTACGGAAACAAAAAAATCAATTTAATATCATTATATATTTTAGATTTAATCTATTTCCTTAAGAAAATATACTAATATTATGATTAGTATAGATGGAAGGAATAAAATTTGAAATTGTATGTATGTTAACTTATTTAATTTGGCAAGGTAATGTTAGATATTTTCGGAAACCACAGTCCAATTTAATAGTATAGATAGTAATGTTGAAAAATCAGTAAATATATATTAGGCTAATAAGGCTTTATTAGTACCCCATAAAATATTGCCCACTACATTAAAAAACATAGTGTCAGACCATATAATAATATAATCAGTTTAAAAATTAATTTAGAAAATTATTGTTACAACAAATAAAAAAATTATCATGTGTTTTCCCATGGTTAACACATAATTCTTTTAAAACATTTACACACAATTCTTCTTTTTTTTTGGACAACATGTTAGGTTGATGATCTTATACACACAATTCTTCACTAAGCATAATTTTACCCATTTAAACCAAACTATCAATAAAACACAGAAAGTTTTTACACTACTTTACATCAATCAAAACTTCACATTTCATATAATTTTTTAATATTCTTCAATTTAAAACTTTTAAGATTTTCAGTTTCATTAAATTTATCCCGCACGGACATGCGGGTCCAGATCTAATTAAAATGAATTAAAAAACATAATAAAATTAACAAAACTGGTGTGAAATATGAAACTAATCTATGGTATAGATAATTTTTTATCTAAATAAAACATTATCTTTACAAATGTTATAAGCCAACATATTTGTTATATGGAATTTACTTTTGTATTTAGTAAATTTTGTATATGTAACCTTATGGCTAACTCGGATCAGCCATCATTCTAGCTAGACAATGGAAAAGAATAAGTGACTCCAACATTTTTTACCAATAGGATTACAACATTTTTCATTTTAAAATTAATTGATAAAACTATATAATAGCTAAAAAAAACTAATTTAAATGTGTTATCTAATCATGTGGTCTAATGGTTTGTGCTAGTGTTAACAAATTGAAAGCTGCATTATATATGCTTCTTGTTGACAACATATATGTGTGATATATATGATATTAAATAAATCAAAGTAACACAAATAATTTAAATTTTAAATTCTTATATGTATAAAAATATTAAACTAAATTTAGTAGAGGTTATTGGTTCATAGATTTATATGGAATTAGAAATCCAAACAAAAATCATTTGTTATTCAATCATTGATTTTAAAATCCTAATTAAATTCATGTGTTATTGGTTCTATGATTTATAAATACTAGTTAAAATCATATGTTATTCGTTTAGTCATTTGTTTTTGGATTTGAGAATCCAAATTATGTTTTAAATAGAATTGAATGGAATTGAAAGAGAAAAATAGAAAGATTCAAATCCATGGGTAAACACATGTTATTTCAAAATCCATATATCTTGATTTCATAATTAATAGAAATTTTCAAATTCTATATGGATTTACAAATTAATAAACCAATAACACCACAAAATCAACTAAATAACGTGTCAACACATGTTTAGTCATCTTCTATCTATCTATATAACGAAAGCACAATTTAACAGAAAAAATGTTGCACAACTCGGTTTGGACTTGAATTCGAATTCTGGAGCAATCAAAAATATACCATTTAACCGATTATATAGAAAACAAATCTCTAAAATAGCATGAAGTACAAATACTTAGGACAAAGTTACTTTGGATCAAAATTATGAATCCGATTCTTTTTGGTTTCTTTCTCGTTTAAAAATACGAAATTCTCACAATACCTTCCCAAAAAAAACCGATCATTCATTCACAACACAATAATAAAATAAAACAACTCAAAACATCGATTGATGTCAGTCAGTAGCGACAGTGACAACGTAAATTAATGGTTCCGATAAGTCTCCGTTTGTTTGTGTTGTTATTACCACATCAACGCCTTCAGTGCACGTTAGCTTTCTGGCTCTATCTGCTTCTTTCTCCCAGTCCGTAGTAGCCACGACATATAGCATCATGGCAGCACAACATATCTGGGCCGCGAAAAGACCTAACCAAAGTCCGCAAAATCCATATGCGGCCCAAAACGTTAGCCCAACGGCTACAGGCGTTCCAACGAGGTAAAACGCTCCTAGGTTTATGTTCGCGGCCTTAGACGGCCGTGCGGTGCCTCTTACAACCCCGCAACCTACTGTTTGCGGGCAGTTCCCGAGCTCGCAAAGCCCGAGAATCGGCAACGCGGCTGCGGTTAATTGGATGATATCAATGTCGTTTGTGAAGATCCGTCCCCAGACGTCGCTTACGCCCCAAGCAAACGCAGAGGCCGTCATACCCATTACCCCAGCAAAGGAAACCGCCACTATGGCTGATAACCTAGCCGTGTTTGGGCGGTTTGACCCAAGTTCGTTACCAACGCGGGTGGAGACCGCAAACCCTAGAGACGATGGGAAAATGTAAAGCAAAGACGTCGTTTGGATAAGAATGCCCATTGCTGCCACAGGAGTACTAGGGTTTATGAGCAAACCACATAGAACGGTCATGATCTCGTACCACCACCACTCTAGGCATACCCCGACGCAGCTAGGTATGGCTAGACTTACCAGTGGTCCCCAATCTTTGAAACATTCGGAGCTGGGGCGGGTCCACGTTGGCTGGTGTAGACCTGCGATCCAAACATGGGCCACAAGGAAAATGACAACAAAAAGATTTGAAGCGGCTGCGGCCATTGAAACTCCCATGAAACCCCATCCGAGGTAAGAAACGAGGAAAAAGTTCATGGGTATGTGGAAGATGGTGCCAGCGAGTGTAGCGAGAGTTAAAGGGCTTGTGATACCTTGTGCTCTAAGGTATATACGAAGAGGGTGAAGAAACGAATTGGTGAGCAAATCAGGAATAGAGCAGAGAATATATGTTTGGGCCAACGATGAGATACTTGGATCTTGATGAAGATAGATCATGATCTTCCCCAGGTTGAGCCATAGAGCGACGATTACTACCGAACTTGTGAGTAAGAAAAGTACGGTTCGTTGGAGAGTTAGAGAGAGGAGTTTTGGTTTTCCGGCTCCAAAGGCTTGCGAACAGAGTGGGTCCATACCGAGTGCAAGGCCTGCGAGAACGGAGTAGCCAGTGATGTTAGCAAAGGCAATGGCCAGGGAGCCACCAGCGAGCTCTAGTTCACCGAGATGACCGAGGAAGAGCATCGAGATGGCGGAGCGAGCGTAGAGGATGAGGGCGGCAAGTATTGTCGGGAAGGCTAAGGAGAAGAGAGACTTGGCTTCTGTTTTAAGCTCAGTGATTGTCGGGAAAATGGGGGCAGGGCTTTGCTTTTCTAGGTCTATCTTTGATAGAAGATTTGTGTGGCTGGTGACGTTTGGGGTTTCCATTTTGTCTGTGAAATAAAATATACAAAAGATGATTATAGTTACTTGATATGATTATCTGCAGAACACTTCTGGTTTATATACACAAATATAATTACCTATATGTCCGTCACGTCGACTCTAATAACGAAGGAGTCAGATGATAAAAGTCAAATATTTATTTAAAGGATAGACTTTATGTTTTAGTGTTTAAAAAAGTTAATTACAGAAAGAACACTTGGGCATATATATTTTATTTTTTTGGGTCTACAGGTTGTATTAGTATTTTGTCCTTTTAATTTATAGTCAAAATCCCCCTATTTCTATAAGAACATCTTTAAATTTTATGTTTTCACACAAATTTTAAGAAAAAAGCCTATTTTTGGTTCAGATTTGATTATAGGGGATTGCTGGTGGCATTAATTTTAGTTTATCTGAGTAATTATAAAAGTTAATAAATTTGAAAATCTTATCCTTCACAATTTTGTCCCATATATTGTCGAACGCCACGTGATATTTTTATAAATTAGTAGATTAGATATGTATTTCACTAATATTATTTTCAAAAAAGTATTTTTATATTTTAAATTAAATTTTCTATTTTCAACATTTACTTTTTATCAAGATTTATATGTATGTTATACTATATAGATATAAATTTGACGTGTCGTATTTTTACCGGTATGTATCTTTGTTTCTTCTTAAGTATTTTTAATTAAGTTAAATGTAATCTTAGATTTTTTTTGGTTATCAAATCTAGTGCATTCGTTGGAAAGGAACTTTCAAATAAAGTTTTGATTGAAAATGATTTAAAAAACGTTAATCTGAACTAGAGAGGGGAAGAACGAGCGGTCCGATTTTTCTAGTTAACACGAATTTAGTTAGAGAGGACCAGATCAATCGATCCTCCTTTTTGATCGATTGGTCTTGAAAAAATCAAAAAACCAATTAGACTAGAGAAACATGATCGATATGCGTTAAGATCTATATTTTTGAAAGATATTTGATCATTTGTTTACATGCCATGACAATATTGCAACCATTAATATGTGTAATGCTTAATGTCATTAAACCAAGTTTTTTAAATGGGCTATGAAGAATATATTTTTAAGAAGGATTGATTGTCAGGTTTTTGAAACAGATTATACAGAGTTAGTCTCGATTGTGTAGTCTCTTGAAGAATTATCCGCTTTCTCCAATCTGCTATATGAGTTTGAATTGCTTTGTGTCTTCTTTTTTTTTTTTCGAGTTTTTCTATTTCTCGTTTATGTAATTTTAAGGCGAATTGTTTAGAATATTGTTTTCTGAAGTTACATTTGTAAACTCTTTTCATTCAAATTGGACAACCAATCATAGAGTCAACTTTTAATTAATGTGTGCTTGACAATAAAAAACGGTTTGACTTGCATCAATATATTTTTTAGACAAAATTTATAGATTCTAATAAAAATAAACTCGAGATCATAGTACAAGGTAACAAATAAAACATTCGAAAATTATTACAATTATCAACTGATATCGACCAATGGTAGGAACTTGGGTTTGGGCAGATGGAATATTTGTCGTACGAACCAAACTACCCTGGCTTACATATTTTCAGCTTGAATTCACAGCTACATCTGTTGGGCCAGCTTGTCTCATCAACTGACAAACACAGTGAAGAAGCTAGAATCAGATTTAATTCGAGCACACAAACCATACGTTATTAAGAATTAATTGGGAATTTTATAAACCTGGAAATAAGTCTCAAACTTTGCGCGGAGTTTACTGTGCTCTTTCTTAATATCACCTAGTGCTACTTTTATTCTTTAAGGTATACAAGTCAAAAATTATGGCAAAACAAACATTTTCATTATTATCTACAGTATTTTTGTTAAAGAACATTAATTTCCCTATATATCTCAATTACGTATTATATACAGAAATAAAATTATGTAAAGGAAATGAAAAAATAAAAATGAAAAGATTATACTTATACCCTTCTGTGTTGCTAGCTTTGAGTGATGTGTTTGCCTTCTGAAGTTCCTTAAAAACTTTGCTAGCACCGATGCTGTATTAAAAAAAAAAACCAGCATTTTTATATTTTATTATTGTTAAATTCTTGTCTATAATTCAAACCAAATTACAAAAATATTATAACTAGCCTGGCGCTGCTGCTTTCTAACTGAAGAATGCATTTGGTAATCATGGGTACCTCTATTGGATCTCGCTCCCTGTTTCAAAAATATAACATAAACTTTAAATACCAACCAACCATTAGCCAAAATTAACCATATATTTAAATAGAATTCTTAGCATTCATATATATAGGTGAGGCCCAACATTTTATATGCCCCTAGGCAAACAAAATTTATGCGGCCTTCTAGTAAAGTGCAAAACAAATTACATGAAATTGGGCCCTTTTATTTTCTTTTAAAATATGGCATCTACTCTGGTTTTTCATTCGAACTATGTTTCCTTACATTATATAAGTTCAATGTTGATGCATTCCATATTTCCATGATGTATAATCAACGAAATTTCATATGGAGAGAGATAGGAAAAAACTCACAATTCATGTTCCAAAGAAGCAATTACATTAGGGGAATCTCTGAAATAAAGAGTTATTATTTCTATAATAAAGTTAGGGTTTGTGTCTTTCGCCAAGGCCTCAAGCTGAGTATACTGACTATTGAGGTACCCCTGCATCAATATTTATTTTGAAAGATTAAACGAAATTCCTCAGAAAATCTGTGTTTTATTGTTTGATGTCTGAAATGAATATTTTTATAAAAACAAGTAATTCTAAACATAAATCAACCGGATTGCTGTGTATATTGTTGCTTATATATATATATGTGTGCATTAGTTTGAAATTTACTAACCTCATCAAAGAAAGATTGTCTCATCTCTTGAACTTGTAGATGCAGGGATTTTATCACCATTTTAACTAAAATATATATATATATTTTTTGTTAAAATTTTAACTAAAATATTTGTTTGGCAATAAGATTTTTGCAAGCTACAGAAGAATAGTATAGGGTCAAAGAGAGAGTAAAATGCGTGTAAATGTTGCATGTACTGATGTACATCAATCCATATATATATGGCCATAAAGTGAAAACTTAGAATTGTAATTTAATGAGAAAATCTTGAAGCGACCTCTTGTTGATCAACATTTGCAAAAAAACAATTAAAAATGTTTGTGTTTGAAGAAAATCGTATTTTCGATCAATAATTTATGTTAGCTTAGAGATTATAATAATATATGTTTTCTCTTATATTAAGAATCGTATTTCCAAGGAGTCATGGGTGCGATGGCTCTAAACATCTGCGACTTTAAGAAGGTCTGATACCAAATCTTGAAAAGTAAATACATAATCTGGAAATAATAAAGGTTTTAACCATAGAATCCTTTAGTTAGATGAGCTACAAAATTATTAAACTATTTACATTGTATTAAGGTGAACTTGTAAGCTCCTATAATAGTACGTCCCGATGTTGTGGAAATTAGTTTACCGTTTACGAGTAATTTTATACAAAAGATTGTTCTTCAATGGTTCAGAGATCACTTAAATTAACATGGTTTATGGAAAAGGAACTTGATTGTACTTTAAAACTTCTAGACTCAAGCCAGTTCATAGTTTTTTTGTAGATCATAAGCGGTTTTTAAAAATGTATAGAAAATATAGAAAATGTTTTACATTTAAATTACAAAATAATTTGATTTTTAATTATCTTAAAGGTTATTGTGTAAAGATTTGGCTCTTGGGAAAAGAGATTTTAAAAAATCTGATTAAATAAATGTTTTAAAAACTTTTGACGGATTCTTGATAAAAGAATCAAGAAACGATAAATTGTGTAATACTCCAGCCGCTTTTGTCTATATATGGATCTTTATCTTCCGATTCGAGCATTGGATTATTCTAAGATCCGACGGTCTGATTTGTCACGCTAAAAATTTCGTAAAATTATCAATTGTTTGTAGATCACAATGCATGCATATATATTACCATATTTTTTTTTTACTTAATTAACTGTTTTTTCTACTTATATGAGAAAAATATACCTAAGTCTTTATAAGACACAATTACTTTCCCAGCCTAGTTACAAAAGAGTGAATTAGTACCAAACTAGCTAGGGACCAAACAAGATTACTATACTACCGGAAACTAGATGAAACCAAATTAAAGTCGCCCAAACCAACCGTTTTCTTTTGTGCGATAACAAGATAGTGGTTTGTGATGCATTTATTCTTCAACGATTTTCTTCTAGGGTTTAAGAGATATGAATCGATCTCAGAGTCTAATGAGAATCTGGCAAACCACATATGGAGAACGTTTCAAACAAGTTTGGTCGCCTGAACATATAATTTTGAAAAAACCCTCACCTGGCGCGTGTCCCCCACGCGCTTCTCCGTTCTCTCACATCTTTTTTGCATCGAGGAAAAACAGAGAGCTTCGCTTTGCCTCTCCGGTGTGCTTCTCCGGCACCGGAGAGGGCTTTTTCTTTCTTCTATTTCTGTTTTAGCTTCTCTCGCCAATCTCCGTCTTCGTCTTCTTCCTCGCGTTCTGCCGGTTTTGGCCGTGGCTCTCCGTCTTCTCTGGCTTCTCTTGGTGGTGGCTGTTGGAGTGGTTCCGTGGCGTGTTTCGTGGAGAATCACGGCTTGGTGGTTGGAGGTGCTGGATTTTCTCGCTTGAGGACGGCGGAAACCAGCTTGTCTCTGACAGCACTCATGGTCAGATCTCCCTCGCGTGTGGGTTCCTGTCTCCGGCTAGGGTTGTGGTTTCGATGAGTTGTCTGGTTGGGTCTGTTCTTCACCTCTCGGCGGGTTAGTTGCTCAGATCTGGGTTCTGGTGGTGCATCGCTGGATTCGATTCAGATCTGCTTTTCGTCGTGGCATGGTGGTCACGGTTGCTTGGTGTTCGTGTTGTGGCGGAGTTCGTTTGTTGGCTGGCGGCGCAGTTCGAGGCTGGTTCCTGCGGTGGTTGTTGGCGAGGTCCTCCTCACCGCTGTGTTGCTCACGGCTTTTGTGTGATTCGTCATTAACGGTTCGCTGCGGTTCATCCAGAGTTTGTGGCGGCTTGGACCTTCTCCGGTGTGGCTTTGGGCTTTTTCGGCTCATTCCGGTAAGGTTCTCCTCGGCTTGTGGTCCTCCGGTGTTGTTTGCATCGGTTGGAGTGGGTTTTTGGTTGTGGTGTTGTATTGTTCTTTCTTCGTTTGGATGCGGCTTGATTTACTTAGTGGTTCGAGCTGGTAAGGCTTTGTGGTTGAATAGAGGCGGCGGTTTCGTCTAGTTGCCCTTCTCAATCCCGGGGAGATGTCTCCTGTGGCTTCACGCTCAGGATTGGTGAACAGAGACGGCTTCTCTGGTCATCTTTGACGCTCCCGTGCCGTCGGGTGCGGTTAGGTCTCTCTAGCGATCCCGTTTTTGCGTTAGTCTTCGGAGAAGCTGTAGGCGGTCTTTCTTGAGGTTTGAGGACTGCCTCGGGAAATGGTTTGCTCGTGGCAACAACGATGAGGACTCGAGCTCCTTCGAGCTGCGGCAATTACGCAAATGTCCGTGCTTCACGGTTCGGAATCGGTGTTTCTTCTTCTTGTCTCTGCTAGTGGCTTCGCTTTCGTATTTCTTTGTCGTGTTTTCTCTTGTATTCGTAGGTCTTTAGTGTGTAGTTTTTGGTTTTCCTTTCTTCTTTGTTACCTCTGTATTCGCTGTCGCAAAATTGAAAATGGTATAAATACTTCACCTTTTACCAAAAAAAAAAAGTTTGGTCGCCTCTACCTCAAATTACTTGCTTTGTTTCAAATCGTGAGGAGTCAATATTTGTGTGAGGAGAAAGTCAACATATTGAAACAAGTTCATATGAAGCGAAGAAATAAAATTACTCATGAGTAAATCATTCAACCTTAAATTCCTATAAATCAAACAAAAAAAACAAATTACACTTGATATATGAAATCAAATCATAATTCTGTTTTTTCGTCGCAACCTTATTTAAATAAAACCAAGGTTTTGTAATCAAACTCACACTATTTCACCTTAATTAACAGCTTAGGGTACACTTCACATTCATACAACCACTTTTCTAACGCTTTGATTTCTCTTCTTCGTAAGCGAAATAAGCATAAAATTTTGGTTCCTCTCTAGAAAAAAAAGACAAAAACTCTGTTTTGTGACATTTTCCCCTATTTAGCCTGACCCTAATATGTAAGATTTTCTGAAAACGTGAACAAAGCTTGGATTTTTCAACAATGAATTTAGATTGTGAGATAGTTTTAATTAGAATATCATTGATTTTTGGTTGCTAATTGCTGCTATACATTCTTTCTTTTTCTTTTTTATAATAAATAACCTTTTTTATTTTTTTTTATTTTTATTATAAAAGAGATTGTTGCCGGCGTGAAGATTTTTCTAGTTTCTGGCGCCATCATCATCAAACCCTAGTTTCTCTCGGGGCCATGGTTCCCGAAGATGAGAAATCTCTCGAGCTCTTTCTCTGCATTGGTTTGGACGAGCGAACCGCACGCGACATTGTGAAAAACAACAGAAATCTCACCTCCGATCTCACTGCCCTCATCCATCAGGTCTCCTTAGTACTTTCTCTCTTCATCTTCCCTCGTTACTGATTTTCGCTGATGAAATCGGATAGAAGAGAACTAATCTGTTGGTTTTGATCCATCTTTCGTATGAACTGTCGTAATTTGATCTCTTAACTACACAATGGTCTTGTGTACAGGCTCGTGTCACTGATGGATGTGACCGAACTACTGGAATTCTATTGTACTGGGTGAGATATTTTGATTTATCTTAATTCCAATTTTGACAAAGTAAAAAAGATGTTACACATTCAGAATTGCCGGAATATATTTGTCAATGCTTGAAGAAACTTATTTAGGTTTATACTCGCCTTGGAATAATGTGTAACAATAGGTCGTTACTAAGTACGGTGGAAAGGCTCTCGTGCATCGTCCTACATTGCTCGAGTACATTGTCTCTTCTAAGGTTGCCATCTTGCTCCTTGATTTGACTTTCTCTGTAGCTGAACTACCTTTTCTTGGGTTTGAATTGGTTTGGTTGTTCAGAACTGGCTAAATTCGTTTCGATTCTTTTCTGCAGATTAAAACATCATCCCAGTTGGATGCTGCATATTCGTTTTTTGGCAATACTGGTCTTGAGGACTTAACCTAAATGAGTTTGAGGAGGCATGTGGTGTTGGTAAGAACTTTTTTGAATGCAAATTATGAGTATGGATTCAATATGTATTTTCTTTTCTCCCCGTGCTTCTAGAGAAGAAACTGGTTTCCGTTTTCTTTATTATTAACACAATGCTTGGGGGTTAGAATTTTCTTTGTATTCCATGGATTTGGAGGTGAATTTTTTTTGTTATGGTTCTGGAACAGCGGTTGAAGTTTCCCCAGAAGATATTGAGAAAACAGTTAAACAAATTTTTGAAGAAAATATGAAAACAATATTGGAGCAGCGGTACAGAACTAGTGGTTAGTTGTTGTTTTTTTACCTCATTGGCTGACCCTTTCTGTTTCTTTTAAGCATATCATATTGCTCTGCATATCATATTGCCCTGCTTCTCTATAATATTCTTGTATAACCAGCTTATAATGTTTCTTTGTTGAACAGGACGTATTTATGTGGTATAGTGGGTAAATTAACCGGACATGTCCTGAAAAGTTTGCCATGGGCAGATCCTGAGACTGTTAGGGTGAGTTCATAGTTTTAGCAGCCGATGATGTTCTTTGCTAGCCACATACGAAATTTTAGTTTTCTTATCCATTCCCATGTTTGTAATAGAGAGTCATAGAAGAAAAACTGTATGCATTGCTTGGCGAGAAAACAGCTGCTGACAATGAGAAACCTACAAAAAAGAAGGAGAAGAAAGAGAAGCCCACCAAAGTAGAGGTGAGCGTAGGTTTCATTTCAATGTATTTTCTTTTGTGTATGCTGTGATTTTAATACTTCATTTCCGTGGCTACTATATGAAAAGAAAGCTGTTTTGGAAGCTATCCCACATCCATCTGAAGAGGAGCTTAATCCATATTCTATATTCCCTCAGCCAAAGGAAAATCTTAAGGTAACTCACTGCTTTTCTCATGTTTAGTGATTTCTTTTATTGAGATTTTTTAAGTCCACGTCCTACATTTTTGTATTCCATTGATAATCATTCATCTATGTACTGACTGAATGATAACAAGAATAGAATAGTATGGTCTGTATTGATTGTCTTTAAATGTGGTGATGTTGAAAACGACGGCATGAGCTTCTGTGAAACTTTACAGTTGGGAAAAATGTACCTTTGCAAAACTAATGGAAGATGCCAATATGTATGATATGAACTTTTGGTTTAGTCATGGATGAATTCATATCTAGCATTACAGCAATGCATTCAACAAATGCTTATGGAGAGTCAGTGGCAGAAATGTTGTTATGACCATGTAAGTTTTTGTTCATTTGTATTCTCAGGTTCACACAGAAGTGCTTTTCAGTGACGGCTCTGTGCTCAGATGTAGCAATACGAAGGAAGTGCTTGACAAACATCTCAAGGTGACTGGAGGGAAAGTTTATACCCGGTTCCCTCCTGAACCAAATGGTTATCTCCATATAGGACATGCAAAGGTAAAGTATACATGAAATGAGGTTGAGATACTTTGCATGCTGTTCGCTGGGAAGGCCTACGTTTCTATGGTCATTTAATGGTTGTACTTTCAGGCTATGTCTGTTGATTTTGGTCTTGCAAAGGAGCGAGGGGGCTGGTGTTATCTAAGGTGAAAAAATTCTTGGGCGCTTTTACTTGGGTTTCTTACATCTTTTGCTTTTCTGTAGCAATCATTGTTCTTTTATAAGCACTTATGTGAATATCGAATTTATAGGTACGATGATACAAATCCTGAGGCGGAAAAGAAAGAGTATATTAGTCACATTGAAGAAATTGTTAATTGGATGGGTTGGGAACCCTTCAAGGTATTGTTATTTTCTGTTGTACGTAGCTTATTATTGCGTTTACATTCATCTGATAGTTCCCGTTGTTTTCTTCTAGATTACATACACCAGTGATTATTTCCAAGAATTGTATGATTTGGCAGTGGAGTTGATTCGAAGAGGTCACGCTTATGTTGATCATCAGGTTGAATCGGTTGAAACCTCCTCATATATGGATTACATTTGCTTTTCCATTTAGTAGTCATGCTTTTGTTCGAAGCTGCACTGCAACTTATTCCACACAGAGAACTTATTCTATTGAAGAATTGTTCATCTACCTTCAGAACGCTGAGGAGATAAAAGAGTACAGAGAGAAGAAAATGAACAGCCCCTGGAGGGAAAGGCCTATTGAAGAATCTCTAGAGCTTTTTGACGAAATGAGACTAGGAATGATCGACGAGGGCAAGGCCACACTAAGATTAAAGCAAGACATGAAGAGTGATAATTGTAATATGTATGACCTTATTGCCTATCGTATAAAGGCAAGTGAAACTGGAATCATCTCTGGTTACGTATAAGCAATATGATCTCTCTAGACTTTAGCTGTCTGACTTGTTTGTATGCTTTGCAGTTCACACCTCATCCTCATACTGGTGACAGATGGCGTATCTATCCGACCTATGATTATGCCCACTGCATTGTTGATTCTCTTGAAAATATAACACATTCGGTTTGTCCCTTTCTTTTAGCTGTTGATATAATGCATGAGTTCTAATGCTGCATTTTGTATCTGAATCATCTGCTGTTCGAAACACTACTTATGTGGTTTCTGACATTTTCGTTTATGTGCATAAATGTAGCTCTGCACTCTTGAATTTGAAACCAGACGTGCTTCTTACTATTGGTTATTACACTCGCTGGGTCTCTACATGCCGTATGTGTGGGAATATTCGCGGTTGAATGTCACAAACACTGTTATGTCCAAGCATAAGGTTGTTAAAATACTTTAAGTTGCTTGTGAAAAACTTTTATTGTTCTTTGCAATAAATCATGCTGGTTGGATCATTTTTTTTTCTTTTGCTGCAGCTGAACTACATTGTGACAAACAAGTATGTTGATGGTTGGGATGATCCACGTCTTTTAACACTTGCTGGTTTGAGGCGGAGAGGTGTAACTCCTACTGCGATTAATGCATTTGTACGAGGACTTGGTATTACCAGAAGGTCTGCTATATATATATATATGAAGGCTGAAGTAACTTATACGAATTGGCTTTTGTTACTTAACTTTATTAAATCTGCTATATGTTGTTGTTTATTGAAGTGATGGTAGCCTGATACATGTGAGTCGTCTTGAGCATCATATTAGAGAAGAGTTGAATAAAACAGCTCCCCGCACCATGGTGGTGCTGAATCCTCTTAAGGTGGTTATCACCAATTTGGAAGCAGACAAGGTTATGGAGCTTGATGCTAAAAGATGGCCTGATGCTCAGAACGATGATCCCTCAGCATTCTACAAGGTGCAATAAGCTTCACAAAGTACAAATTTCTTACACATAGTGGAACGGTTTGCTCTTTTGCTGATCCTTTTTATGTTGGGTTGGTTGATCTAGGTTGCGCTCTCTAGAGTTATATACATTGAGCAATCTGACTTCCAAAAGGAGGATTCAAAAAATTATTTTGGACTTGCCCCTGGTAAATCAGCCTTGCTTCGGTATGAAAACGCACACTTATCATTTATCATCATTACTTTTGGCATTGAATTTGATTAATCTGTGACTCAATGAACTTTCTGCTGTTTGCAGATACGCTTTCCCAATCAAGTGCACCAACGTTGTCTTTGCTAATGACACTGAAACCGTTAGTGAGATCCATGTGGAGTATGATCCTGAGAAAAAGATAAAGCCAAAGGTCCGTTACTCCATTCTTTAAGCATCTCAATAATTTCTGCAATTGTGTAGCACGTATTAATCGTTTCCGTTATCTGCAGGGTGTTCTACACTGGGTCCCTGCATCTTCACCAGGAAAAGAGCCCATTAAGGTTGAAGTCCGTTCATTTGAGAACCTCTTTAATTCCGAGGTAATTGTTGTCTGGCTTTTGTTGTATTGTACTTCCGGAGTAACAAAGATTTTCCCTGAGCTAAAAACAATGTCTTTTACCATAACAGAACCCAGCTGAACTCAATGATGATTGGCTCACCGACATTAACTCCAACTCCAAAGTGGTAGTTTCTGATGCCTATGCTTTATCAACCATTAAAGATGCTGCCGTTGGGGACACATTTCAGTTCGAGAGGCTAGGTAATTTTCTGCAATTCTAGATGAACAACTAAGTGGTATATTTAATCCTGAAATACACTTTGACACCGTTGCTTGCGATGAATTAGGTTATTACACGGTTGACAAGGACTCTATCCCGGGAAAGCTTGTGTTTAACCGGACGGTCACACTCAAAGACGGCTACAAGAAAGGTGGGAAATAGAAACACTCACACCAAACATATGAACATTTGCAGGTCGAAAACTCCTTAAAACCCCCAAAAGAGTAGATGACAGTGAATGAAAATACTTGGTCGAAAGGCACATTGTGGCAACAGATAGGATAAGTATTGGTTTGGTTCGATATAGGTGGTTCAGATGGCTCGGTATAAACTATATATTTTATTCTTATAAGATTGAAATTAATAAAAACAATTGGTTTCTAAACTTATGATGCTAAAAACTTGTGACCAACTCGTCCTTTTGGCTTATTTACTTTGGTGTTTGGTTCCTTTTTCTTTTTCAATAACGGGAAATTGCATTGAGAGCACTTGAATCTCTTTAAATCTTCCGACCACTACATCACAAATTTATAAATTCATCAAATACTGTATAACTGAATATTCCCCACAAATAAATAAAATAAGCATTGATGGGAAACCAAAGATCACGAGAAGAGTGATGTCCCTACCACAAAGCAACAAGAAAGGATTATAATAGAGGAGTCACGGGCACTGAAAGACACCATCAATTCATAGAAGAGAATAAAAAGCCACCTTAATTAGTTAGTTGTGCACAAAACTATTCACAACACAAAATTTAAATGTGCACCTCTAAGTGGACTCTCATCATTCATCATTCATCATTCATCACTCATCACCAATTCGCCGTTGCAATACTTTATCTTCACTTCCACATTTCATTAATAGTTTTTGTTGGTGGTAGCATGCGACTTTGGTACGCAGCAGTGCAAACAACTAAAAATAATGCTATCCACAGTGAATATTTTATTTCCGCATTAAACTAATATGTTATGTTTATTGCCACATCAAATGTATACTCATGAACATAATGAAAGTATTTTGTGGTATAACACTTGTCGTGTAAGTGCATTAGGTATTAAGTTAATTGTGTTGTGTATGTACATATGTGTTGAACAAAAAATGTGTGCACATCTAACATCCTAAGTAAATATCTGTACCCACAAAATTATGTATTCCAGTTTTATACCATCGTCAATGTATCCAACCACATCCACATCCACATCCTTTTGCCAATTAAACAGTTTTAACTCCATGTGGAGAAGTGGAGTCGATCTACAATGTCCAAAAAGAGATCTAGACGGTCGTGACCACTAACTTAGGCTCTCTTCCGCAGGTAACCCATGTGTTTAACCAAGTGCTTAAAACATTTTAGGTCATAAGAAAGTCTCAATTTAAAAGCATGAAAATCTAAAAAAAAAAATTATATGTCTCTCTATTTATTTTTATTACTAAAGTTTTGTTATAACTTAGTTTTTGCTCATGTTCAACTTGTTTGTTGACTAAATAGAACATAAAATTGAATTCACATATGGTATAAGTAACTCGGGATTAGCTTTTGTTGCTCAGTGTAATAAACAAGAAATAAGCATCACGTCAATGTGGGTTGGGTTTCTTTTCTTTCTTGTGGGTTGGTTCCTTGTCTTTATATTTGGCATTTAGCTAGGCTTCTCATTCTACGTGGATGTGAGTGGAACCGCCCCGTGACCTCTTCCCTTCTGTCTCTTTTCACCTAATTCCCTTACCAAAGTACCAAACACTCGACAAACCTCTAACAACATCCACACACATTTATATATACACATACATAGTATTGAGAAATCACATAGCCATATATTGTTTTGGTCCTACTTTGTATCTTTGGCAAACACAAAAAAAAACAAAAACAGAAAAAAAAAACTCCTTATTCTTTTGTATTTGATTCTAATTGTCGTATAGATGCCCAAATTCAATTCAACCCAAGCTCCCAATTTATTTCTTCTCCTTCTCCTCCTTCTCGTTATCCTTCTTTGTTCAAAGCAAACAAAATGCCACACCAAAGGTCTACGATTACGACCAAGAAACCAGAAGAATGTGAACACGACGAGCGATCGGACACAAAACCCGGAAGATGAGTTCATGAAATGGGTAAGATTCGTTGGAAGCCTTAAACACTCAGTGTTCAAGGCAGCCAAGAACAAACTCTTCCCTTCTTATACACTAACTGTCCACAAGAAATCCAATAAAGGTGACTTCACTAAAATCCAAGACGCCATTGATTCTCTCCCTCTCATCAACTTTGTCCGTGTCGTCATCAAAGTCCATGCCGGAGTTTACAAGTAAGCACAAGTCTTTCTTCCACTACATTACATAATTAATTAACAGCTCTGATCTAATATCAGTCAGGTAATTAGTGGTGTAATTACATTATAATGATCAAAACTTATTTGAATATTATCCTCCTTTGTTTTCAACATTTCGTCATTTTTTTCCAACCACACATTTTTTTTTGTAATAAGGTAAATATAGAGGACATTAGTACGATATAGTATAGTGTATACTTGTACATACATAGTTTTATACATGTAATCTTATTTAGTATATAAACAACCTTGTATATACATTTACATCTTAATGAGAAATAACAAACTTTACCTTCTCTCTCTAAATCTGATAGACATGATCATATTTATTAGGTTGATCTTGCAGATATATAATTAAACAAATAAATAGTGTTTTGTACAGTTTGCAAACTGATGAATTCCGAATTGATACCACATCTTTAGATATATTTTCATATTATTATTTCAATGTGTGGATGTAAGTATATTCCAACAGCCATGAACCGTAGATTCTAGAGTTTTGTCTGTATACATTAGCAGTTTTGCAATTTGTTTTCATTCTATTTAAGTAGTATGAGGGGGATTCCATATCTTTTTTGTTCGTCCTTTCCTGCATCTGCATGAGCCAAAATTAATTATGAAATTGAAAGAGAGTCTAAAAACGTATTGCCAATAATATAAAATAAAGTAGCAATCAATGATCTCTCCCTTGAAATCAACACTATATGATCACGTGAACTCGGAATTTTGTAAGCTGGATGTATTATGTATAATAATCTCTAGGAAATTAATTGACTTTTTTTAGTGACATTTTGGGCCTTTGCGAGTTATAAAGCGCATAAGTGGTCCACATATACGCTCCACGCTTACTGTCCATAATTTTAGAACTTTATGCAAACTATTTCGTACTATATCTAAGATTGCATAAAAGAACTATACAAATTTGAGAAAAATAATGAAAAAATGTTGGAAAATGTGTCTAGGGAGAAGGTGAACATACTCCCAATGAAGGCATTCATAACAATAGAAGGAGAAGGAGCAGAGAAGACAACAGTGGAATGGGGAGACACAGCACAAACCCCTGACTCAAAAGGCAACCCCATGGGCACTTACAACTCGGCCTCCTTCGCCGTCAACTCTCCTTTCTTTGTCGCTAAGAACATCACTTTCAAGGTTACTTAATTATTACCATATATACATACTACATGTGTTCAAATTTATTCGAACGTATAAGTTTTGAGTCCATCTTAGCGTTCTTATATGTATGTAGAATACGACCCCAGTCCCCTTACCGGGCGCAGTTGGCAAACAGGCGGTGGCACTGAGAATTTCGGCAGACAATGCCGCATTTTTCGGGTGTAGAATGCTTGGTGCTCAAGACACTCTCTATGACCATTTGGGAAGACATTATTACAAAGATTGTTACATTGAGGGATCAGTTGACTTCATCTTTGGCAATGCCCTTTCTCTGTATGAGGTAAGCATTCTCACTTAGTGTGGTCTCTGTATTCGATTAGCGCATAACATATCTTAGAACACTATGTAGCAATTTTAGATTGGTCCTTGCTCTAATAAAAGTGGTGTGTAGGGGTGTCACGTGCACGCGATAGCGGATAAGCTAGGAGCAGTGACGGCACAGGGGAGGAGCAGTGTGCTAGAGGACACCGGATTCTCTTTCGTAAAGTGTAAGGTGACAGGGACAGGGGTTTTATATCTTGGGAGGGCATGGGGTCCCTTCTCAAGAGTCGTCTTTGCTTACACTTATATGGACAACATCATCCTCCCTAGAGGCTGGTACAATTGGGGCGACCCTTCACGCGAGATGTAAGTCTACTTTACTTCTCTTTGGTCTCATTTAAATTTCATATGACCAAAGATAGTCGGCATAGCTCTGACTCAACAAGCTTGAAAGAACATGCCATACGATGATACTTGATAACAAATGTACAACACATTTCAGTCCAACTTTACAAAACATTATCTCGTTGCCTCATCCATTCCAGAGTCATGGGTCCCACCACTACACATATGACATTTCAGACCGACTTCATATTTGTCTTTTTACCCCAAAAAAACTGCTTTTGAGATAAGAGTATATTTAGTTTGTGTGCGCATGCATTTGTATATAGATTTATTGAAACTTAAGGCCATTCACGTAGGCGTGCATAGAAGAAAAAAATGTGAAAAACTCATTTAAAAGAAGAAAACAAAAAGTAATTGTGAAATGAAAAAATATCGTGCAGGACGGTGTTCTATGGGCAGTACAAGTGCACGGGAGCAGGAGCAAACTATGGAGGGAGGGTGGCTTGGGCAAGAGAGCTCACCGACGAAGAAGCTAAGCCTTTTCTTTCTCTTACCTTTATCGACGGCTCTGAATGGATCAAACTCTAACCATTACACCTTTTTTTGTCGTTTTAATTTTCCACCTAATTAAAAATGTTCATTTTCCCCTTAATAAAATAAAAACAATTTTTTTAAACATTTCATATACATGCGCACCTCATTCCAGTGACTCGACGTCCATTCAACAGCCAAACATTGCCGACCAAGTCCCATCTTGGGATACACCACTTATATATGTTTTCTTTCCGAAGATAAGCATGTAATTAAGAATTCCTGTGTAGTGATCCAATATTATGTATTTTGAAACGGATTTGTATATTTGATCGATGATACAAGTCTTGTTCGGACAACCTAACATGGATTTTATGATTAATATTCTAGATTCAAATTCACCTTAATTTTATGTAATAAGTTAGGTTTGGCGGATGTGTTTTAAAATGACATGATTATCTATGTACAAATGGTTTATCAGTGGTCTTTTTTGTATTTTCCACTCACCTGAAACGCTGAAAGGAGTTTTCCAATACTTTCATTGTTTTTTTAAGTCGAGTCAAAAGGTGTACATTTTTAATTTTTATTGGTAAGAGACTAATGTTCAATTATAAGTTTGATTAGTAAGAATTGATATCAAAAAGAGAAGGAGAATACAAAAACTTGGAAATTGGGTTTTATGATTTTAATTACCACTTAAACAATAGCACACTAAAAAAACTATTTTATGTTTTGTCACAAATGGGACCCAAAATCAGTATGATGTGGTAATAATTTATGTATCCTAATCAATATTCTAAGTGAAGATGATATTAAAGTACAAAGATTCCTCCGAAGATCAATAATTGGAAAAGCCATCACACTAAGTCTAAACAAACAGCCAACAACCAGAAAAAACCCTCTCCATTGATATGATTATCTAAGAAGAAGCTCCATTGATGTCGAAATCAAAACCTCTAGCCTTCATAGTCGCTGCTTTATCTTACTCCTTCTTCCTCTTCTCTTCTTCACCAAAGTCTCACTACCACGAGCTCTTCCTCTCTGATTCCTTCTCCGACAACGCTTCCGTCGCTCTAAACCTCCGTACCCTCACGCGCCGCCCTCATGTAGCCGGTACAGTGGCCAACGCTGAAGCAGCCGCATATGTTCGCTCTGTTTTGACCTCCTATGCACTCAAATCACACGTTGTTACTTACCAAGTATCTCTAACTTACCCAGTTCATCGCTCTTTGGTACTAACGCCCACAGAATCCGCAAAGCCGATCACTTTCTTGCTGGAACAAGAACAAGCCGGAGACAATCCTTATGCTAATGAAGTGATGCCTACTTTTCATGGATACGCTAAGTCAGGTAATGTTTCAGGTCCAGTGGTTTATGCAAACTATGGACGAGTGGAAGATTTCTTGAGACTCAAGAAAGATATGGGTGTGAATGTCTCTGGAGCTGTTGTAATCGCGAGGTACGGTCAGATATACAGAGGAGACATTGTGAAGAACGCTTACGAGGCAGGAGCTGTAGGTGCTGTGATATATACTGATAAGAGAGACTACGGCGGAGATGAGTGGTTTCCGGCGAGTAAATGGATGCCACCGAGTGGGGTTCAAGTAGGTACTGTTTATAACGGGTTAGGTGATCCAACGACTCCTGGGTGGGCAAGTGTTGATGGGTGTGAGAGATTGTCGGATGAGGCGGTTGAATTGAGCGGTGATGTTCCGCTTATACCGTCGTTGCCTGTCTCGGCTGCTGATGCAGAAGTGATTTTGAAGACGGTTGTCGGAGATGTTGGTGATGGAGATGTTTATCCAGTGGGGCCTGGACCTGGAATCTTGAACCTGAGTTATACTGTGAGTTTGTGTTTTAGATAATGTGTGTTACTTACTTTAGGGGTTTTAGTTATAGCCTATAGGTCTTGGTTTCAGGGGGAAACTGTTATAGCCCAGATTGAGAATGTTATTGGAGTGATTGAAGGAGAAGAAGAGCCTGATAGGTACATTATCAATAGTGAATGGAAATAGACTAATTAGGTAACTTCTGATTGTACTAACTTACTAGGGATTGTATATGAATGAGTTGATTAGATATTTGATTCTTGGGAACCATCGAGACGCTTGGACTTTTGGAGCTGTTGATCCGAACAGTGGCACTGCAGTACTTTTGGAGGTGAGTAAAAGTTTCCGCAACATGTATTTGCTGAAAGTTTTAAATGGTTCCATTGCAATGAGATATTTTTGAAACTGTTGTAGATTGCACAAAGACTAGATAAGCTGCAGAAAAGAGGATGGAAGCCTCGACGGACGATTATTCTGTGCAATTGGGATGCTGAGGAGTATGGCCTGGTCTCTACCTCACTTTTTATATGTGTGCTTTTGAGATGTCAAAGCAGCAGAAATTTGGGGTTGATGTAATTTTTATGTAGATTGGGTCAACAGAATGGGTAGAAGAAAACAGAGAGATGCTAACATCAAGAGCAGTGGCCTACCTGAATGTAGATTGTGCGGTATCTGGCCCCGGATTTCATGCCTCAGCAACTCCACAACTCGATGAATTGATAAAAATAGCTGCTCAAGAGGTACTTTCAGAGGCAGTAATATAGCAGCAATCTTTTGAGCTAATCTTGAAGGTCAATTGATAACTGTTTCTGTTGCAAGGACACAAAATCAAGCTTTTTGGTTAAATATCTGCAGGTCCGGGATCCAGATAACGCAACGCAAACAATCTATGATTCGTGGATAGGATCAAGTAACTCTGTTGTGGTAACTGAAGAGACTAGCTTAGATTATGAATTTTGTCTCATGTTAAACTGATTTGTTTACTTGGTATGTGAAGATCGGAAGATTAGGGGGCGGAGGTTCGGATTACGCATCATTTGTACAACATGTTGGCGTTCCAGGAGTTGACATGTCCTTTGGAGGAGGTAAATCTCTGAATCAGCCACTCACACTTACAGTTGATGAACCATGGTCTGTTGTATAAACACCAAGTCAATAAGCTTTTTTACTGATTATTGCAAACATTAACCATAAAGAACAGGCTATCCAGTCTATCACTCTATGTATGATGACTTCACTTGGATGGAAAAATTTGGAGACCCTATGTTTCAGCGACATGTCGCAATGGCTAGTGTTCTTGGTTTGGTCGCTCTTCGGTTAGCAGATGAGGAAATCTTACCATTCAACTATACTTCCTATGCACTAGAACTCAAGGTAACTAATTGGTATTTATAAAACATATGGCCAAATCAATTGATGAGCGAGATATTTCATAATGGTATTTGTTCTACATAAACAGAAAAGCGCGGAAGATTTGGAGAATGAGAAGTTAGGCCATAACATAGATGTATATCCATTGATAAAATCGATCGAAGATCTATCTACGGCTGCACAATATATAAATATAGAGAAAGAGGTATGGTTGCTAGTTAACATTTTGACAAAGTGACAAGTATATTGGTTATTGAAAGTAGTCTTGAGTGGACTGTGCAGGCAGTTAAAGGAGCTCTTAAAGTGAGAGAGCTTAATGACAGATTAATGATGGCGGAACGAGCTTTAACAGACCGAGATGGACTCTCTGAAAGACCATGGTACAAGCATTTGATATACGGACCATCGACGTACGATGACTACGGTTACGGATCGAAATCATTCCCTGGAGTTGATGATGCAATTGACAATGCAAAGAAGCTAAACACTAAAGCATCTTGGGAATATGTTCAACACCAGATTTGGAGAGTCTCTAGAGCTATAAGACAAGCATCACTCGTCTTAAAAGGTGAATTGAGATGATACAAGAAAGCTTAAATTGCATCAGCACAATGATGTGAACATAATGAAGACAGATTCTGCCACAAGTTTAATTTTTCATATCCAAATTTCAGTTTTAGTGTGTTTGTAATCCAATGCTACATTCTTTTGCTTAAAATTTGTTTCTTTTGATTAAAGTTAAACCCTAAAACTTTTCCGGTGAGATCAATCAATACACACACTCCGGCGAAATTTAACACCGTCGCACCAATGCATTTGAGGCCCATTAAAAAGCCCATTCTTAAAGCCCAAAATATCACCATGTTTCTTTCTGCACTACGGATTCAGGAGTCGTCCTCGCCGTTCAGTTTCAGACCAGACGAAACCACAATGCTTAACCCCATCACTTTAACCCGGAAACCACCACTCCCTTTCAATGTTCTTGCGTTTTCCGGTAGAAGGGCAATGTATAAAGCTAGTTCGAGCAGGGCTCTTTCGTTTGGGTACAAATATGTTGGTTCACTGAATTTTGGTCGTAGCAATTTGTCGGGGAGATCCGGAACTGGGTTTGGGCATCTGGGTCGGGTCTCTTCGGTCTCAGGTGGAAGTTCAGGTGGTTCTGGCGGGTTAGGTGGTTCAGGTGGTGGTGGTGGTTCCGGCGATGGGGGTGATGGTGAAGGTAGCGGCGGAAACGGGAAGAAGTGGTCATTCGTCTCATGGTAAATTAGCTTACTTCTTCCTGTATCTACTCATTTTCTTGTGTAAAGATGTTTCTTTGAAACTTAATTCGTTGAAGCAGACATTGGAAATTTCATTGATGTTAATGATACTCACAAAACACTATTTTTAGTATGATTCCTTACTTTTGAATTGAGCATCAATGCACTTTCTGTGCCTTTTTCTGTGGTGCTTGCTTCAGGTACTTGGCTCTTCTCTCAGATTCTCCTGTTTTGACTAAAGCTGTGACCTCAGCACTTTTGACCCTCATTGGAGATGTGATCTGTCAGGTAACTCTCTTAATAGTGTGCTTGAATCTCAGTAGTTCTATTTTAAGTTTGGATTCACAGTATTCTTTAGCTGCATTATGTATTTCTGAACAGACAGACTTTAACTTGAGCTGTGCTATCTTTTCTTAGAGATACCGGATATTGTAGTGAAAAATCCATTCCTATTCTATGGTTTATGGTTTTCTGTTAGCTATGTGGTTCTTGGAAAAGAAACATTGCTTATTCGTGTTACATTTGGTTGCAGCTTACAATCAATAAGACCTCATCACTGGACAAGAAGAGGACACTCACGTTTACCTTGTTGGGCTTAGGACTAGTCGGACCAGCATTGCATTTCTGGTATTTCCGTGGACCTTTCACTCTTATGACACCGCGAAAGCTATCTTACTTCTCTGCTAAGTGGTTGTTCAGTTGAAGAGACTTATGCATCCATTGGTATATCACTTATGCTTATTCTCTGCTCCATTAGGTATCTGTATTTGAGCAAAGTGGTGACAGCTTCCGGATTATCAGGCGCAGTTATACGACTTTTACTGGATCAGGTAGCAAATTTGCCTATTCTCCATCCAACAATTTTGTTCCCCATCTTGCTTCATATGTGTTAACACCAATATTTATTTTTGCAGTTTGTTTTTGCTCCTATTTTTGTTGGAGTTTTCTTATCAGCAGTTGTGACACTTGAAGGAAAACCATCAAATGCCATACCGAAGCTACAACAGGTTGGATTAAAAGCTAATTAAACTTAATATTTCCACGATGATACTTTGTATCGGTATTCTAATTGAATCCATGAATTTCTGGTTGTGTAGGAGTGGACTGGTGCAGTGCTAGCAAATTGGCAACTATGGATACCATTTCAGTTTCTTAACTTCAGATTTGTTCCACAGAACTTCCAGGTTTGATATTAAACTCTGTGACTACATGAAACGTGAGAGTGTGAAAAATACAATTCGGTTAAAATTGATGATATGCTTCATACATAACGACCCACACACTGTTAATCCTCTGCGTAGTATAATCTTTGAGAAATTATTACGCGTTTTCATGTTGTTGAGCACTTGTTAAAAGCATCTTTGACATGTTGATCTTGAGATGAATTACACTAGAATGACATAAGCTACTAGCTAGTAGGCTTAGCAAGATTTTGCTGGTAACTGATGTTATTCACCATTCTGCTAAAGTTTGTTCACTGGCTCTGAGGATGCATCGATGCCTTATATATGAATTATTGCAGGTACTTGCTTCAAACGTAGTGGCTTTGGCTTGGAATGTGATTTTATCATTCAAAGCTCACAAAGAAGTTGTCGCAAAGTAGGCATGTTTCTTACCTAAAAGCCTCAGGTGGTTGTTATCGGCAGAGTTTTGGGGCAATGTTCTTGTCTGCTGATGCAAATGTTTGGTGTTTCAAAACAATTATTTGGGAACCCTGCACTTGACTTTTTTTGTTAGTGTAGAAACTAGAAACAAGCTTTTCTCTAAGCATCTTAAATATTTTCACATCATCACGTTTCAAATGTTTATTGTTTCCAAATGTTCTTAAAATCGTTCAGAGGGTTTTATAGTTGCTTCGCATGAAAAAATTTAAAATCTCTGGTTTATGTCTTCAACTTCCACCAAAGAAGAAAATTTTATAATTCATCGGACCAATCACCGACGGAAACAAAAAATCAAAGTTTTAAACAGCTACAATAATACGCTTTTAAGGCAGGTTATGTATATGATTAAAAAGCAAATGAACACAATTCCAATTGTGTTTTCGTTCTTCTCATCTTATTTTGTGCTGCTGTCTTCGTTCCTCTCAGATCACATACCAATCTTCTTTTGAAGTTTCGTAATCTGGTTCAGGAAGATCCATGTCATCTGCCAAAAGAAAACCCGATCACCAACTATCTTTGAGGCAATCTCGAAGGGATTCGTAGAATAACATTACAAAAAAAGGAAGATAAGAGTTATTATACCATGACGTGAGGGGCAATCCTGACACAGTAAACAGGGAAACCTGAGTAAAATTTCAGAGGCCCCCCTTCTTTTAAGGTTTTCATCGCACAATCAAGTGAACCTGTGTATGGATATTTTCCCTGAGCATCCGGTTGCATTTTCTGAATCTGAGTTTTGACAAAGTCAAATGGCAGACTGCAAGCCGCAGCGCAGAACCCCGAAACAGCACTTGCCCCTGCCAAAGGAAATAAAAACCAAACAACCACCAAACTCAGATATCTATTTTACCTACACTATATATCATACAGAGATTACATGACCATATGAAAATACTGACAAAGGTTTCTTGTTAAGTCTAGTGCAGAACTAGTATAACAAGCAAAAAAAGAAAAAGTGTATAAGAAACTTGGAAGAGCAGCTTACCTACGACCGTAGACATCTCCCCAAGACCAAGATTATCTCTCATGTATTCAGCACTTTGATCATAAGATGCAAGCATTCCCATGTTCAAAGCCATAGCTCTGACCACAGTGGGCCCACATCCTTTCCAAAGTGCTAAAACTCCTTCATCAGCGCTAATACGGTAAAGCGCATGGAAGGCATTGGTATAATTCCTGCGCTGAGCTAACGGCAAAGTATTATCAGCTTGCATTCTGATAAGTGCAAGATCGGCTGGACTACCAACACAAGCACCAATAGCACCAGCTGTCAGACCACATAGAGCCTTCTGATACAGCGGTAGAGGCTTTCCATCGTTAGACTCAATTGCCTTTGCAGTCAGCAACCTAATAAAATATAATGACAGGAGAGAGGATGATTTATCCGTAACATTCAATTAGATGGGCTCAAGACAATAGACAAATTAATAACTTACTTGAATGATCCAAGACGGGCTGTGGTGTAAGTTGCTTGCCTCAGCAAACCAGCAGATAATCCCTATTAGAAAAAAATCACATCAAATAAGCTCAGGAGACATCTTCAACTGTTAGTTAAGGAAATCAATTCTATGAATAGCTGAGACTCAGATCCGAAATGCAGACATCATATACATTACAGATGAACAAAAGTCATAACATCAACACCAGAATACCAATAGAAAAGTAAATTGCATCAAGATACATCCAGAAATATAATGTATACCTTGTAGAAGGCACCAAAACCCTCATTCTTAAGCATGTTGGTGGTTATACTAGCTGCAGATCCCTGACCTAGTTGAATCCTCACCTTCACCACCAGAAACAAAGTATTACTTCATTCATTAGATACACATCACGTCATTTTTTTAAGAATTGCACATTGCTATCAACCTAAGAACGTATTTCTAATCAAAATCCAGATCTGAACTAAAACATTTCCTCTAAACAAATCAACAGCAACAATTCACACTCAAACGAGTCTGAATATGTTCCAAGAAATGAAATTTGATTATAACCCAAACACAAAACTCAGATCTGAGAGATAAAATCTTCAGACTCGGATCTGATGAAACAAGACATTTACAGATTTCGCCGATATCAGTACCAGCAAATCAAGCAAGAATTCTACATCTAAAGAGCTTCGACATAGAACAGGATGATATAGAAATGTGTATCCGTAAACATTTGACATACCTTGATCATGTCGATCGGCTGGATAACGCAAGTAGCGAGCATACCAGAGGCACCGCCATTGACGAAGGGCTTCACGGTAGTCCAGACACCAATTGGAGCTTTCTTCTCTTCCGCCATCTCTCTCCTTTTTGTTTTTCGTACGGACTCAAACGCAACCAGAAAGAAGAGATTCCTTCCGCGGAGAAAAAGAGAGAGAAAGAGATTCACTTGGTGGTGGAGAGGAGACGATGAAGTGAAGCTTGTGGGCTTTTTATATTAACAGTACCCAACTGAACTACATATTACACCAAACCCTTGCTTTTTTTTTTTTTATGAGATCTGATCTAAGCCAGACATTTTTTTAGTTAATTCCCTCTAAATTTATTAATTTGGACTTTACTTTTCACTTTTCGGATTTACGCAATCCTAAAGTATTTAGAGTTATTTATTACACCTTCACATGAATTTCGTTAAAAAAAAATAATCAGTTTTATTACTATATTATTTTGTGACAATTTTTGGTTTCTTAGGGGCGTCCAATAAAGAATTCTTCGGTTTTCATTGATCTTTCGTAGTTGAAGTTTTTGATTTTTAAAACGATTTTTGGCATTTTTCACGCCGTATTTGAGCTACTGGACCAGTAGAGTAGTCTTTCTGATGCAAATTGACAATACTCATGCTGGTTTGCGAAAATCAATGTTGTTCGTTAGAATTCGTTGAGTAGCTGCAGCAACGCATAGAGAAACGTGGATAGATGTTGGTGGCCGGATAGAGAAGAGTATACTCAAAGAAATGATGGACAACTGTCAGAAGATAATAAAGGTTTGGTACAACAAAAGCTTGATAATGAACTCGGGAACTCGCAATGGTCTCTACCAATGAAAATGTATCCAACCGAGATAAAACACGAAGGCCGAACGAATATTGTACAGGATTAAAACAATCAACAAGAATCAAAAGTGAAAACAGATAAACGAAAAAACTTTTTGGTTGCAGTTTTTTTTTTTTTTGAGAAAAGGTGTCAATAGTCTTCACCTTCATCTTCTTCATCGTCTCCACCTTCAGCACCAACTTCTTCGTAATCTTTCTCCAGTGCGGCCAAGTCTTCACGTGCCTCAGAGAATTCACCTTCCTCCATTCCTTCACCGACATACCAGTGTACGAATGCCCTCTTCGCATACATGAGATCAAACTTGTGGTCGATCCGTGAGAACACCTCTGCAACTGCTGTGTTGTTACTGATCATACATACAGCTCTCTGGACTTTAGCAAGGTCGCCTCCTGGAACGACTGTTGGAGGTTGGTAGTTGATTCCACATTTGAACCCAGTCGGGCACCTGCAAAACAAAACCCATGCCAAAAGAATTGGTTACAGAAAGAGCATGAAGGTAGAAAGCAATAGCAAGCAACTTGTTCCATTTCTAGATCATACCAGTCAACAAACTGTACAGTCCTCTTTGTCTTGATGGTGCCAACAGCAGCATTAACATCTTTGGGAACAACATCTCCACGGTACATCAAACAACATGCCATGTATTTTCCGTGCCTCGGGTCACACTTTGCCATCATGCTAGCTGGCTCAAACACGGCATTGGTGATCTCAGGGACTGATAACTGCTCATGGTAAGCTTTTGCGGCTGAGATGACTGGTGCATAAGATGAGAGCATGAAATGGATACGGGGATATGGGACAAGATTGGTCTGGAACTCAGTGATATCCACATTGATGGCTCCATCAAACCTCAACGATGTTGTCAAGGATGAAATGATCTGTGATATCAACCTGTTCAAGTTTGTGTAGGTTGGCCTCTCGATATCTAGGGATCTGCGGCAAATATCATAGATGGCTTCATTATCCAAGAGGACAGCTACATCGGTATGTTCAAGAAGGGAATGCGTTGAGAGAACACTGTTGTAAGGCTCTACAACAGCAGTAGAAACCTGACATCACAAAGCAATGCATTCAAAACCAAGTTTCATCACCAAATTACATCACTAAAGAAACATGTAATGTAATGAGCTCCTACTTCAGATTCTAGCAAAAAAAAAGAGTACCTGAGGAGAAGGGTAAATGGTGAAACCAAGCTTAGACTTCTTTCCATAATCTACAGACAAACGTTCTAACAACAGAGAACCCAATCCAGAACCAGTTCCACCACCAACAGCATTGAACACCAAAAATCCTTGTAAGCCAGTACAATTGTCGGCAAGTTTCCTCACACGGTCAAGGCATAGATCCACAATTTCCTTTCCAACTGCAATAATATAAGATTTAGGACCATTTGAAGAACCCTAACAAAGTATAAGGAAGCCTAGAGAGTTAAAAGAAGCATTGTAAGTACCATTTGAAGAACCCTATCAAGTTATAAGAAGCATGAAATGGTTTCTCACCTGTGTAATGGCCTCTAGCGAAGTTGTTGGCAGCATCTTCTTTACCAGAGATAAGCTGCTCAGGATGGAAAAGCTGACGGTAAGTACCAGTACGAACTTCGTCGATAACGGTGGGTTCAAGATCAACGAAGACAGCCCTAGGAACATGTTTCCCAGCACCAGTCTCGCTGAAGAAAGTGTTGAACGCATCGTGCGCAACACCAACTGTAGTATCACTACAACAGAGCAAAAACATTCGTCTCTCAAAAACTTCCGATCCACAGAAACAGAGTAGAAATGAGCGAATTAGGGTTTATACCTCGGCATCATTCCGTCGGGCTGGATTCCATGTTCGAGACAGTAAAGCTCCCAGCACGAATTTCCGACCTGGATCCCAGCTTGTCCGATATGAATGCTAATGATTTCCCTCATCTTCGCACAGCAGAAACCCTAATTCGAGCGATGCTCTGCGACGGACGGAGAATGAGGAAGACGGAGATCGAGGAAATGAGGCGGTGAGCGAGATCTTCTTTTTTTGGTTTAACTTCGTTGGCAAATTAGGTTTATATTTTGTGAGGGGAAAATGATTAATTTATTGAATTGGATTTGATAATTTGTTGGGGTCCGCCATTTTGTGACAGCCTGCCTTGGGTCCCACG